GAAAGATGAAATTTCCATCCGGATTGGGAAGGCCAGAGCAGCTTTTGCGAACCTACGTCACCTGTGGCGTAGGCGTGACATCGGCTTCTCTGTCAAGGGTCGAGTTTATAATGCTGCGGTGCGCTCCATATTACTATATGGATCAGAAACCTGGCCGCTTCGCGCCGAGGATGTCAAAAGACTTTCAGTGTTTGACCATCGATGTCTTCGGAGCATTGCCTGAATCTGGTGGGAACACCGGATCATTAATGCTGAAGTACGTCGAGAGGTATTCGGGAGAAATAACACCCTCGATAGATGAATTAATCACGCTGCATAGGTTGCGGTGGCTTGGCCACGTGCTGCGTATGGCAGTCGATCGACTTCCTCGAAGGGCTCTTTTCGCACAACCACGTGAAAGGTGGAAGAGAGCCAGAGGCGGTCAGACAATGACTTGGCAGCGAAGTGTGAAAGCCATTACCAGCAAACTCAGCTGCGCTGGTAATTGGCGTCTTCCTGGATGGGGACCCCGAGACTGGCCACATCAATAGCTGGAGACATTGTCAGACATGGCCCAGTCGCGCCCTCAATGGCGCTCGTGCATCAAAGCTATTGCCTTCAATGCATAGCTCCTTTTCCACCCCCACCCCCCACTTGACACCCCACTGATAGTGATGGATTTATGCACCAACTTACCAGCTCGCCCCTGCAATGCGCAGCTACCTACCCCCTCCCCCAAATCATCGGTGAACGAAACTGCGGCAACTGTAACCACTGTACGACGAGTACGCAATTATTACAGCTGACAATGATGATGATGATGAATGACTACCACAACCTCGTAAACAAACTCTTGCTGGTTCGTCCCATACAAATTGGACCTTCACGATAAATACCTCCCTTGGTCGCTGGATGGCGGTCTAGGTATCACTGATTTGTGCCAACAACACTCGCATCACATGCATCACAAACATTGAAAAGCGTTGTTGCAGTGCACACAAACTATATATTTGTTATATATTTGTTATATTTGTTATTAAAATCCTACGAAGCCCTTCATGAACTCCTCATAGATCACAAAAATGAAAAATCGAAAAGTTGTGGTAACAGTGAGATTCCCTATACACAAGCTCCAGTATCCTGCTACCCACCACAGACTTATGCAAACCCATCAGATTAATACACTACATATCTGCTCAGAGGAATCACCGAAATACACAACATATACTTACAGCCGAGTTCGGCACCATATTAACCAAGACAAACGCGATCGTTCCGAATACGCCCGGGGTGTGATAAGCTCCGGGAAGCTGATCTGTGCTGTATATAGAAGCAGCATCAATAGCTATCCACCAAGCCAGGGCGAATACAAAGCCAGACGAAATAGACACGAACAAATTCCTTGGGTTCTCGACCTCGCACCTCTCAAAACATTCCTGTATCGCCATCGCGCGGTCAGCAATGGCCGCGAACGAAAACCAGCAGGTTGGGGAAAATCTGGTTTTCTGGTTGGTTGACTTTGGCTCCAATATTCCAGTGTTCCGTTTTGAAGTGGAAGGTTAGTAGGAGATAGACAAATAGAGACTAGGGTAGCCATCTGAAGAGTTTTTTGGCGAACACTGAAGGTGTGCCTCCTTCATGGATGGGATTGGAAAATCTCCCTGTCGTCTCAGAGATCGTTGGTCTACTGAAAAATATACCACGCCTTGCTCTTAACTTCCTTCAACTTCATCTCTTCTTCGTGGATTCCCAGGAAATTTTTAAGAACCTTATATCGAATTAGCTGCATAACCTGTTTACTCGTCTCGATGAAGTCTTGGTACATAAAGGACTTGTTCACGGGTTTTGATATCACCCACCTACCATTTCCGTCCTTCGGACGACCACCGCCTAAGCCTGGTGTGCTCTAAAAATATCTTGACCACGCACCGCGAAATACACTCATTTGCAAACAAATTCGGCTTTTCGAGAGACTCACCTGGAACCCAGCTGAATTCCTCGCTTTTGGCGTTTCCAGGCAACTGAATGTTTTGCACCAAGCCGCCCCATGTTTCAGCTGCTACGACATTCGAGGTGTTGCGAGATATTGCTCGAAAATTCCGACAGCTGCAGATGCTTTCGCCCTCCTTGGAGCCCATCAGATAGGCACAGTCCAAGTGTTTCCGCCAACCTTATGCTCCACTTGAAACCAAATTACCCGAAATTAGCGAAATACATTCTTTCGCAAACAAATTTGGCTTTACGAGAGAATCACTTGGAACCCAGCTGATTTTCGTGGGGACCGCGCTTCCCTGATGAGCTTCAAGAAGAGCGAAACCGGTCGTGAACTGGATTCCCTATACACAAGCTCCAGTATCCTGCTACCCACCACAGACTTATGCAAACCCATCAGATTAATACACTACATATCTGCTCAGAGGAATCACCGAAATACACAACATATACTTACAGCCGAGTTCGGCACCATATTAACCAAGACAAACGCGATCGTTCCGAATACGCCCGGGGTGTGATAAGCTCCGGGAAGCTGATCTGTGCTGTATATAGAAGCAGCATCAATAGCTATCCACCAAGCCAGGGCGAATACAAAGCCAGACGAAATAGACACGAACAAATTCCTTGGGTTCTCGACCTCGCACCTCTCAAAACATTCCTGTATCGCCATCGCGCGGTCAGCAATGGCCGCGAACGAAAACCAGCAGGTTGGGGAAAATCTGGTTTTCTGGTTGGTTGACTTTGGCTCCAATATTCCAGTGTTCCGTTTTGAAGTGGAAGGTTAGTGGGAGATAGACAAATAGAGACTAGGGTAGCCATCTGAAGAGTTTTTTGGCGAACACTGAAGGTGTGCCTCCTTCATGGATGGGATTGGAAAATCTCCCTGTCGTCTCAGAGATCGTTGGTCTACTGAAAAATATACCACGCCTTGCTCTTAACTTCCTTCAACTTCATCTCTTCTTCGTGGATTCCCAGGAAATTTTTAAGAACCTTATATCGAATTAGCTGCATAACCTGTTTACTCGTCTCGATGAAGTCTTGGTACATAAAGGACTTGTTCACGGGTTTTGATATCACCCACCTACCATTTCCGTCCTTCGGACGACCACCGCCTAAGCCTGGTGTGCTCTAAAAATATCTTGACCACGCACCGCGAAATACACTCATTTGCAAACAAATTCGGCTTTTCGAGAGACTCACCTGGAACCCAGCTGAATTCCTCGCTTTTGGCGTTTCCAGGCAACTGAATGTTTTGCACCAAGCCGCCCCATGTTTCAGCTGCTACGACATTCGAGGTGTTGCGAGATATTGCTCGAAAATTCCGACAGCTGCAGATGCTTTCGCCCTCCTTGGAGCCCATCAGATAGGCACAGTCCAAGTGTTTCCGCCAACCTTATGCTCCACTTGAAACCAAATTACCCGAAATTAGCGAAATACATTCTTTCGCAAACAAATTTGGCTTTACGAGAGAATCACTTGGAACCCAGCTGATTTTCGTGGGGACCGCGCTTCCCTGATGAGCTTCAAGAAGAGCGAAACCGGTCGTGAACTGTCGAAGAGTCTACATTACGTATTGTTTACACGCCGTTCGGCCACGATTTTCGGCTACCATACCAGCGCTGGTTGCCGTGCTCCAAGACGCTTGACTTTTAACATTTAGCGTCCTGACAGTGAGCTTGAAGTGCCTACAATTCCATCGTTTTCGTTGGCGGAGGGTTTAGTAGTTTAGAAAAGCCATTTATCTGATCAGTTCATACTTTTTTACTGGTTGTTAAGAGGCTCTCCATATTATGCTCGAGCCAACTTGTATCGCCACGCTCGTGAGTTTCAAAGCTGATGCGAAACCTGGTTTCGTGTCTCGTTGATGGGAGATGGACTTCTCCCGAGCCTATCGTGACGCGCGAAAGTCAGGTGACTTTTGGTGACTCGTGTCAGCGTAAACTGTCAAAAATGGTCCCTCAGATACAGTCCTCTTGATGCCACTTCTCATGGCCAAGCTTGTCTACGGCGGAACGTAGTACCCTGGGTTACTCACCAGTAGCCTACAAAAGCGGGAGCCAGACCTGCTAACCCTTCGTTCACACCGTCAACGAGTCCAGCAATCACGCCCTTACAGGACCTAGGGTCTCCGCCTAGCAAGGCTCATCGCGCGTAGCGCAATATAGCCCCACTTGTGATGTGCAACCATTGTTTGGATGTCGTTTCGGTGGGTGTATCCTAAGGTGTTGAAAATGGCAGTGGCCAAAGTAGTGTCGCCTTGTCTACCAAAGTTTGCCTCTTAGCCACCCGCCACTTTCACGAAATTTTGTCTCGATTTTTCATCACCTGCGAGGGCCACCAATAGAGTTATACGGTTGGGTGCCTTTGAGAAGTGGGAGTGCAAACAGCAATGAAGCCCAAGTTCGATGAGGCAGTTTAAAACGCACAGCCGAGAGACCTTTTACAATTAATGGAAATCCTACTACTCATTCCACAGAGATCAAAGCTCTCGGACTCAGATACTCCTGTACTTTTAACTTTACCCACCGGGTGCAATTTCAGGTTGCAAGAGCGCGCAGGCTCAGTTTTTTAATACAGCGCTCCTTCCACCTTCCAGACAGGATGGTTGCAATCTTTAAGCTATGCGTATGACCATTCGTGGAATTCTGTCCCGCGTTCTCCTCCTTTTATGCCCAAAGTTGCAGACTCGCAACTGAAAGCGTCCAACGCTTATTTACGAAAAAACTCCTTCCTCGGTCAAACCCCCTCTCTTACCGCTCCCGCTGTCGAATCCTAGGCCTCGAACCACTATGTCAGACGGTTAAAATTGAATCTAGCTCCCTTACACCGTATGCTGCATAAGAACGCCTTTGTAGCAGAGGTTAGACCAAGCATAAACTCACAACCTCGCTACAGACTCCGCAACTCCTGCACTCTCTTAGTGTGTCCCCCAGCTCGCACAAACGTACGCCACTACTTCTTTCTAGTTTATGACACTCGCATCTGGAACAGCCTTCATGAGCAGCTGCGAAGCATCACGCATTACCATGCTTTTTCTGTCTGTAGACAAATTGCTTACCCCTAAAACTGCTGCCGCCTCACTTAATACTCAACTACCTTCTGATCTCCTCTACGAATCAGGTCCAGTGCACATATGAGTTTGACGACGTTACAGTTAGTGGGAAAGTAAAGGATCCTGCTATCATTTCTTCCCATCATCTTGACCCGCTTTAAGCTTATAAAGGGCTTAAATGCCAACTTGATCTAAATACGCGACGTTACTGGCCTGATCGTTTTCTTTCTTCCTTTTTCCTTGTACAAACTTGCATCTCGTACTGGTCTAGTTCCTACGCCGTACTGCTCTATAAACTCTGTCTGGCGTCTATTGTTCTCGTCCAAACTCTACTGGTAAAAACCAAACCAAAATTAGCTATTTCTTCCCCAAATCACTGCACGACTTAATCACCTACTAATTCTAATTATGCTGTGTTACTAGCTTGGTTGTTTTCTCCTTCCCCAGTCAACTTATGCCTAGTCCTGGTCGAGTCCTTAACCCGGATTACTCTATCAGCTCTGTCTAGTAACGGGTGCTTTCAGTCTAACTCAAACTGATAAAAACCAAACCAAAGTCTATTTATTTCTTCATTTCATTATCAGAGCGCACTCAGCGCTTATATATATCTATTTGATGATTTGTTCCACTAAACACTCCCACACACAATATCGCGGAACTCTTCTGCTCGACGTGGCAGCCCACACCAACCCTCCGACGCCGATTAGCCATTTTGCAATCGCCTTGAGTATCAACATTCCAGTCTCACCGTCTCATTGACAACTGTCATTTCAATTCTTCTCCGCATCTTGCCTCTACCAGAGTCTGTATGCTGCTGCTTGTTCAAATTGACTGAGATGTCTTTAATGGCCTTGCTTACCCACGACAAAAAAGGTAGCTGGAGTAGTCAATAATGCACAAACCGCACTTATGACCGCTTGGATGGTTGTCTACCTTGCAGATCTGGTAGCATGCACGAGGGAGAAAGCCTCGATTGGTGGACGGGTACGCCCTACAAGGAGGGGGGCACTGTTACGTTGCACCATGGTGCGTTCGTATACCCGCCACCCCTCCAGCAGCACGAGTGCATTGCCCATCGCCGGTGGTTCTGAAGCCACCCCTCAGCACGAGTGCATTGCCCATCGCCGGTGGTTCTGAATCTGGCCTTTAAATTCAGGAAATCAAAAAAAAGTACTGTTGACTGACTTTTGTTGCTGCTGGTGTTGGGCTCGCCTCGGTGGAGTTATGCAACTGGCAATGCCATAAACCGCAGACGGAAAAATCTGGCCTCTCGTCTGTAAAAAAAAATTTAAAAAAATCACTTGGGATAGCCCGAAGATACTCTGCAATGCCCATCGTCTACATCGGCGAGCATAGTTGTATCTGCTTTCGTCAGAACAGAGGCTTTACTGCACCAAAGCCCATTACGTCATCCAAACAGAGAATACATCTACTCACCACTCCCAGTGGTAGACATGAAAGTCTTCATTGCTATACACCACCAAAAGATTAGAGCTGATAGCAGTGCTTCGGGGACTAGTGACTATTTCTCAAGCACACACTTTCTCTCCTGGTATTATCCAACTCATGTAATAAACACCCGATTAACCAGTTAGCTTAGAAGTCCATTCCCGCCAGCCCTTACACATCTGATTCCCATACCACGCTCCTGCGCGCGTATATCGGCTTTTACTGAATCCCTTGTAATATAATATAGTATGTTAGCAAACTCAGCCCCTGGTTCCTAGCCTACTACGTACAAATCTACCTAATTCCTACTCCATGTAATCACTTGTCATCGCCCTAGTTGCAGCAGAAGCCAAGTTTCTCTTTCTGTGTATATTAATGCATATTATCCCGTTTTATATCCCCTCAAACTCACTAGGTTTTGCGAATCTCCTCCCATCCCCTCACCTTCCCAAGCTTTCAACTTCGGAAGTGCCAGCTTTGGACGACCTATTAGCTGATCTCCACTCCACCTGGCCTATGATCTACAACTCCGGGATCACCAAGCGGACCAAGAAAACCTACAATCCCATATCGGTTTCGTTCCAGCTTGTTTCCTCGACCAGGCTGA